AGAGAGAGAGAGAGAGAGAGAGAGAGAAAGTGGGAGAGAGAGAGAGAGAGAGAGAGAGAGAGAAGAGAGAACGAAAGTAATAGAAATGGAATTAGAAGTATTTGAAGTCCAGGGAAGCTGTTGATAAGTGAATACCTAAAACAGTAGCTAGAGAAGATGTACATGCATTTATGCTGACAAAGACAACTAAAAACCCCAGAGAGGACCTGGAAACATCAGAAGCCCCCTCCCCCTTCCATCGCTTGGACCAGGAAGCAGGCAAGTAGACTAAATACAAAACCACGTCGCCAATTGCAATGATCAGTGAAGAACTCAATAGTCCACAACCCCAACAACCATATATACATGATGCACATGCATTCATTCCTCCACGGAGAGCTGGAAATATGCACACACGACCCTCAGATCTCCACGGAAACTCCCAAGCCCCTTCTCCCCTTGCCTTCCCGCGGGTCCAGCCATGTCCCACACCATGCAATCGGAATGAGTGATCGCCAAATGCCAAGTCGAGCCGAGCCGTTTATCCCGATGACACGAGGAGCGAGCGGGCAGACGGGTTCAGACGGCCAGGAAAAACCAGAACAAAGCAAAACAAAACAGCACTACATGTACGATGACAAGTCTAATGTAACTATTCATCCGTATTGATGACCGTTGATCGAAAAGCCTCTTTGAAGTTGTTTCGTTGTCATGCCCCCCCCCCCACCCCCTAAAAGTAAGGTGCAGAATTTACAGCTATAAATGACGAACACTCCATCATTTTCATTCCGATGCAAATTCCTGTGATGTCTCTTAAATTACCAGAGTGTTAATTGCGCTATAAAAAAACCCAATAAAGAAATAACCAACAACAATTTTTTAAAAAACCCCTCAAGTAAACAAACAAAAATATGCAACGCCCCAAAGCGTTAACGTATTAATGGTGAGGGGGTCAACAGCCTTCACGCCCGGTTTGAGAGTTAATTTACCTTTTCTGTCGAGACATTTTTTAATTTTATGGGTGAGTTTTACAGCACTAACAACAAGGTTAGTCTATATAAATGCCAAATACTAAAGGCGTTATTAGAGAATAAAATACAAAGAAATAAAGGAGGACAGATAATGAAGAAAGATTTTTGATGGGAAAGAAGGAGCAAAGCAGATTAGAGCGCCCATCAAATACCCACTCTGTCGAGGCGTCAGTAGTAGTAGAGTTAAAAATCTTAAAACACACCCCCATACTGCCAGATAAGATTCTTTCCTCTGCCAAAGGCTATACAACATGCATGCAGAATGGCCAATTGGAAAAGCT